GATGAGTGCCCCAGCATTAGGTCTACCTGACCACACACGGCCATTCTACCTGTATGTACATGAGCAAAGAAGAATGGCTGTGGGAGTATTGACACAGTACTTGGGATCATGGCAAAGACCTGTTGCCTACATGTCTAAGCAACTGGATGCAGTGGCCAGCGGACTTCCACCTTGTCTAAGAGCTGTAGCTGCAGCCGCCCTGCTAGTAGCTGAAGCCGATAAACTCACTCTGGGTCAAGAACTTTATGTACGAGTTCCACATGCAGTACAGACGTTGTTGGATTACAAAGGAAATCATTGGTTTAGTAACAGCCGTATGACCAAGTATCAAGCAATGTTGTGTGAAAACCCAAGAGTGCATTTAGAGACTGTAAATACCTTAAATCCAGCTACCCTTTTGCCACAACCTACTGAAAGTCAACATGATTGTTTGGAAGTAATGGATGAAGTATTTTCAAGTAGACCAGATCTTCGTGATTTTCCCATCCAGAACCCTGATGTTCAATATTACACCGACGGCAGTAGTTATGTAAAAGAAGGGATCCGCTATGCAGGATATGCAGTAACAACGATAGACAAGGTGATAGAAGCTCGGCCACTGGCAAAAGGAACATCAGCACAAAAGGCAGAATTGATAGCACTGACACGAGCGTTACAATTGGCTGAAGGTTTAAGAGTGAACATCTACACGGACTCCAAGTATGCGTTTTTAACCACTCATGCCCACGGAGCTTTGTATAAAGAAAGAGGACTATTGAATTCAGAAGGCAAAGAAATCAAATACGCAGCTGAGATCCTACAACTATTGGAAGCAGTGTGGGAGCCGAAAGAAGTCGGTATTATACATTGTCGGGCGCATCTGAGAGGAGATGGTGATGTAACCAAAGGGAATCGGATGGCAGATAGTGCAGCTAAGCGTGCTGCTGAATCAGGAAGACAGGAATATGTGGGGCATATAGCTGCTCTTATACCAGCTCCACTGTCTCAATGGACTCCAATTTATACAGCTCAGGAAGAGGAGTGGTTAAGGACTGAACCTGGAAAGTATTTGGAGAACAAATGGTATCAGTTAGAAGATGGAAGAATAGTTATTCCAGCATCACTAGCGGTAGAAATTGTCCAAAACTATCATAACGGGACACATTCTGGGAGAGACAGTACAGAAGAATCTCTCAGAAAACATTTCTACATACCAAGATTGTCCAACTTGACTCAGGCCATTGTACGTAGATGTGTAACGTGTGCTAAAAATAATGCAAGACAAGGACCAGTAAAGCCACCAGGAGTCCAGTTTATGGGGGGACTTCCCATGTCCGATTTACAAATTGACTATACAGTGATGCCTAAATCGGGTGGACATCGCTACCTGCTGGTAGTGGTGTGCACCTATTCAGGCTGGGTAGAAGCATGTCCTACTCGTACAGAGAAAGCAGGAGAAGTCGTGAGATTCCTGCTACGAGAAATAATACCCCGATATGGACTACCCTGCTCTATAGGATCGGACAATGGTCCAGCTTTTGTTCATCAGTGCCTACAACAATTGACTCATATGCTTGGTATAAAGTGGAGGCTTCATACGGCATATAGACCCCAGAGTTCTGGTAAGGTAGAGAGAATGAATAGAACTATTAAGAATCAGTTGGCTAAAATGTGTCAGGAAACCCAACTTAAGTGGAACGTTCTCTTGCCCATAGCTCTATTGCGAATCCGTAGTACACCTACCAGAAGGATGGGCCTCTCTCCTTTTGAAATCATGTACGGGCGACCACCTCCCGTGCTTGGTAACTTAAGGGGGGATTTGAGTCAGTTGGGAGAAGGAATTACCCGGCAGCAGGTTGTGGAGTTGGGTAAGACTATGGAGGAGGTACAGAAATGGGTACAAGATAGATTACCTGTGAATATTTATCCCCCAATTCATAGTTACCACCCAGGCGACCAAGTGTGGATTAAAGAGTGGAATAATGTGCCGTTAGGGCCCAAGTGGAGAGGTCCTTATGTTGTTCTTCTGTCTACCCCTACAGCGATAAAAGTAGCCGAAGTGGCTCCGTGGATACATCACTCCAGGGTTAAACCAGCAGCAGCCGATTCCTGGCAAGTTACAGCAAATCCAGAGAATCCCTGCAAAATCCGGTTAAAACGCACGACTCAGTCGGAGTGACGAGGAACCTTGTGGATCACAAATTTTATTGTTTCAGAGACTTGGTAAGTGAGTGAGAAGGCCATAATAAAGCCTGTCCACTCACCAACGAGTGTATAAGTCAGGGAAAGTCTTGAGGGGACCCCTGTGAAGACGAGCAGAACTCCATTCCCTGCAGCCCTTACATCCTGGAAGCTGAGGTGCCTTCGCACGGACGAAGACTGAGGATGACGACGAAAGATGTATTTTTAATAATGTTTATTTATGTGTATTTTTATATTCAGGAAGGTAGAGGTACCGACACTCCTAGCTGTGAGGTATGCATTAAGACTACAAGAACAGGTAACCATATATCCCAGACCCTAATTTGGCATTCGCAATATGAGTGTAAAGGAGATGTATCAAGATGTAGATACTTAAATATAGAATATAGTGTGTGTCATTTAGGAGTAGGAGAACCTAAGTGCTTCAGTCCTGAGTATCAACCCCGTACAATTTGGTTGACTCTCAGAAATGGAGATCCTCAGGGAACCCTAATTAATAAGACGGTATTAGAATCCGTATATTCTTCAGGTGCTCTGCTATTTGATGCGTGTAAAGCAATATCAAGTGGTAGAAAGCCGTGGAATGTATGTGGGGATCTTAGATGGGAGAGGACGTATGGGTCTAACGATAAATATATTTGTCCCAGTAGTAAAAATAGATATGTAAGTCCAAGATGTCCAAATAGAGATTATAACTTCTGCCCATATTGGTCTTGTGTGGGGTGGGCGACTTGGGGACAGACAGTAGACAAGGACATGATTGTGACTAAGTTGCCTATTGATCCATATTGTAAGTCTATGGAATGCAATCCAATCCATATACTTATAAATAACCCTGACAAGTTCTTAGATAAATATGGTAATTTATTTGGGTTTCAAATATATGGGACGGGTTTAGACCCTGGGACAATATTGTTTATAGGGATAGAGACTGATACGGTAACCTCCCAAACTCATCAAGTATACCATTCCTTTTATGAAGAGATGAGCATAGATAATAAGATCCCCCATAATGCTAAAAACTTGTTCATTGATTTAGCCGAGAGTATTGCCGGTAGTCTTAATGTTACCAACTGCTATGTGTGTGGAGGTACTAACATGGGAGACCAATGGCCTTGGGAAGCAAAGGAGGTAATGTCCGGTTCTAAGGCAGTTGACCAATTAATATCTATACAAGCCGACTATCATATGAGTGTTAGAGGTAAATCTGAGTGGAGATTGAAGACCTCCATCATAGGTTATGTTTGCATAGCGAGGAAAGGAATGATGTATAATACTTCTGTAGGAGAATTAACTTGTCTAGGGCAAAAAGCTTATGATGATGATACAAAGAATACAACTTGGTGGTCGGCTTCAAATGTCTCAGAACCATCTAACCCGTTTGCAAGATATGCCAATTTAAAGGACGTATGGTTTGATCTATCCATCACATCTAACTGGAGAGCCCCAGCGAATTTGTACTGGATCTGTGGTAAGAAGGCCTATTCGGAGTTACCACAGGACTGGGAAGGGGCATGTGTGTTGGGTATGTTAAAACCATCCTTCTTCTTGTTGCCTATTGAAACAGGTGAGACTTTAGGTGTTAAAGTGTATGATGTGAATCATAGGAAGAAAAGGGGACCCATAGAGATAGGTGCCTGGGAAGATAATGAATGGCCTCCCCAGCGTATTATAGATTATTATGGGCCAGCCACGTGGGCAGAGGATGGTACCTTTGGTTATAGAACCCCTATTTATATGCTCAACCGCATTATAAGGTTACAGGCGGTGGTTGAGATCATTACTAACGAGACATCACAAGCGCTCAATCTTCTAGCGAAGCATAATACCAGGATGAGGACAGCAGTCTACCAAAATAGATTAGCCTTGGATTATCTTTTGGCAGTAGAGGGAGGTGTATGTGGGAAGTTTAACCTGAGCAATTGCTGTCTTCAAATAGATGACGAAGGGCAAGCAATAGCTGAGCTTACTAGCCATATGGTTAAACTAGCGCATGTGCCTACTCAGGTATGGAAAGGGTACAATCCAAGTAGTTGGTTTGGTAGCTGGTATGAGTGGTTTGGAGGGCTTAAGGCAGTGGTAGGTGGAGTCCTACTGATTTTAATGTTGTGTCTACTCCTGCCGTGTCTTATACCCTTAGTAGTTAGGTCTGTGCAAAGCCTGATAGAAAATATAGCAGAGAGGAAGGCTGCTGCACAGATAATGGCAATTTATAAATATAAGGCTCTAGATCAGGGAGAACTAATGCAGGAAGATGAGTGTTGAAGATTCACATCATAGGATAAGTCTGGTCTGGTTCAAAGGTAACTTGTGGTGTATGTAAACCAAGGTTAAGTGATGCCTCAAGTAATTGTAAAATATCAAGAGGCATCAAAGGGGGGAATGTGGTGGAATCTCGGTAAAAATAAATTTAGTAGGCCGAGATTACCACATGGCATGTGTACGTGCATATGCTGACGTATCGATCAGTTGGTTGCACGAGGCAAGATACGATCAGTAGTGTACGGAGCATGTGCAAGAATACAGGATGTAGTATTCCCCTCCTCCATTGTGCTGGACAAGCCATGTGGTCAAGCAGGAAGTTAATTCTTATTTGTAATGATTGGTCAAGAGAATGTGCGGGTGGAGCTTAATATGGGAGGAGTTATGTGCCTATATAGGAAGCCTGCACTATTGTTCAGGGCTCAGAACTTGCTGTATTTTTGGTGACATTAGTCCCTCTGAGTCCCGATCGGTGATCCAATAAAGAATCTCTTCCTTCCTGAAGAAACCTGTGTCCATCCCTCTGTGCTTTGCTTCCGTCAGTTTCTCCGGTATCAGTTCTCTGTTCTGTGAGCTCATTTAAAGTGGTTCTGTCATCAGAAATAGTGTCTGCACCATAATACAGCACGTTAAAACGGAATGTAGCATGTCTCAATCAGTTCTACATCGGTTCAATTTGTTTTATAACATTGCAAATACAAGATTTCCCGCTAGTCTTGGGCATGTCAGCCACTGGGCATCTTCAGAGAATTCAAAGAATCCTTGTGTCTCCTTCACAGTTGAAAGCTGAGAGCTTCATGCAAACCATAGACTCTGCACTGCCTTGTTTTTAATCAGTAACTGGGACTGGGGGTTTAGAATTGTGATGCAATTCCAAGAAGGACGCCTGCACAATGGCACACTGACAGATCTTCATTTACTGCAGCACGGTTACATGGGAATATTATTAATCTACTTCATTACTGTTTTAAACTGATTTACGGACTGAGATTTAAGGTGACAGTAACACTTTCAGCAAAGTTTACATTGCACGTTTCATTTAACCTCAATACGTTATTTTTAATACACCAATATGGTGTATTAAATGTCCTCCCTCTTCAGCCCCAAGTCCGGAATCCATGTATAGCTTAATAAAGGAGGAGGAAAAACTGAAAGAAGCAACAAAGTGAGCAGGGCAGTTGGAGTACAAGTCATAGTACAGTGAGGGGCAACCCTTGTGGGATCTCACTATCTAGAAGGAAATTAATTTGTCAAAGGCACAATTTTTTTTCCGGTCTTTTTCGGTTGGTGAGAGCCTGTGAGTCATAGGTCCAGGATGGGTTGGAATGTACCCTCCACCTTTGAATTATGAACAGGTTTGAGCTCCTTAGACCATATCATGAAGATATCATTCTGTTCCTTTCACAGTCAAAGGCCAAATATCTGAGCCATGAGAGGATTACAGAAAGGGCAAGAGAGCAGAAGCAGATCCCATGAATAGGTGGTGCTGAAAAGCCTGACAGAATCAAACCCAAGACCCAGAGGTCTAAAACAGACCTGGTCTAGGAGTCCCTGAAGAACAGAAGATCCCAACCTCCAAACCAGCAACTATGACTGTAGGGGAAAACATTATTATGTAGACTTTGTAAGGACAGAAACTTTTTGACCTCCTTCGATTTCTTCAAAGAGGAAATACCTTGCCGTCACTGGGCTTTCTCAGAGGACTTAAATGAAGCAACAGAAGAAGACTGAAACAATGAGCAAAATGAAATGAAAGCCCCACAAAAAATACCCCTGACATAAGGCTAATCATCTAATCATGTGTAAAAAAAAAAGCCACCAGTAACTGTGGAGATGATGGTGACCAGGCAAGTGCCAAAAAGGACCTTGGTCTAAAAGGTATTTCCAACACCAACTCAGCCCAGCAGGACTTGAGCCACAAAGATATTTGTTTATTTGAATATTAAATAGATAACTAAATAATCTATTGTTCCTTCTTCTAAGGAGTTTCTCAGACACTAGGAAAACCCCTCATATGTCTGGTGAACCACACTGTGTCTTCCCTATATACATCATAGCTAAGGGAAGTTGAGAATTACCAAGGTAGAGCCTCTAGAATCATTCCTTCGCACCCTAGAGGGACATAGGGAGAGAAGGTGACCAGTGTGGCATACTCACAACGTATCAGAGCCCCCGGGCGCCTTAACCCCTTAAGGACACATGACATGTGTGACATGTCATGATTCCCTTTTATTCCAGAAGTTTGGTCCTTAAGGGGTTAAACAGAGTGTTTATTATCTATGTCGGGCTCAAGCCCAGCTGTCTACAATGGAATTCATATCAAAGGGATCTTCATGAGGAGGACTCTTTGGATGACTCGCAGTCCCATGAGACACAAGTCACTTGTCCCTCAATAAGGAATACATCTTCAATATCCCGCTTGTAAAAAGTAATCTTATCTCAGAGCTCCATGGAATCCACCTTCCTACAGAAACATAAGTGAGGATTCTACAGTAAAGGATGGAGAGAGAGTAGCTTGCTGATGCATTGATTTATGGGTATTTCTGCATTTCTGGCTGGGAGAAATATTACCCCA